TGACCAAAGGGAAATAAATCCTTAGTGAGTTAAGGATCCGGAGGGAGGCCAAGGACTACTGAGGCAGGTTGCACCTGGTGTATAAAATCACGTGGGTGAGTCCTTCGTTTGGTTGGATCGACTTTAAGTTAGTGATAAATTACTTGTAATTTTGAATAACTTGATCCCAAATAAACAAGGGCAGGATTGCTGAATTATAAAAAAAAAAATTAATAGATATATAGAAAACGGCAATGTTATCTCAGTTGTTGCCAACTGGCCCAGTCAAATATGCCTAAGAACTGCTATATCATGGTATCTTGTTCACAGTAGCTCTTCTAGAATCACTAACAAAATTCTATCATTCCTTCTAATGATAGGTCCTTTGCATATTTTGTTGAATAGTTGAAAATTAATACTCCTCTAGTACTATCTATTCTTTTTCGAAATGTACAGATACATATTTGGTCCAAAAAAAAAACTTCTTCAAAAGTCAAAACCATGATGTATAAATTTACTATTAGAACTCTTGTGTAGTGCTTGGCAAGAGATCGCTAAAATGGTCAAAATAAAGTTCAAATCTACTTGCAAAAATGCAGAATACTTGACGTTTAAAGATCTATTAGATAACACGATTCCATTAGTTCTTGACCTTTATGCTTTATTTTTTCAGGCTGCCGATTTTGATTCATATGGAATCTTGTTTTCGGGTTTGGGTTATTTTCCATAGGTTTCACCATAAAAATTATACTAAAGCGCCTCTAATGTTTCTTTCAGATATGTTTTATTGGCAATTAAATAACCATCCGATTTTAGAGGCGATAAATTCTGAGTTACTAAAATTTTCTGACACACCTGTAGAAATATTTCACAGTCTCTTACGACGCTATACGGAGAAACATTCTACCACAAAACAAATTATTAAAGAAGCATGGCATATTAACTACTTGCGATTTAATGACAATAGCTTTAAGGAAAACTTCGTTCACACTATATCCTGGACAGTCTACCAATATTCTTCTTAGAATATTAAAACTTTGACACAAAAAACCACATGCTTTCTTCTCGAATGTTTTTCTGATATTTATACTTGTATTAATTGTGAAAAACTTTCATTTTTAATTTTACTATAGGTTGCTATGAAACATCTGTTAAAAAAAATGAAAAAAATGAAAAATGTCAATACTAAAACCAGTATTCCTATTCTAGCAATGAAAATGAAAGAGGTGTGGCTTTGTCATCTACCCTTAGGATATAATTCTTCATATAAACCTAGTTTGTCCGGTTGTGATTCTTCTAATTGTTCTTTTACTAACACTATTATCACTAAAGAAACAGAACAAGTATTGTCATATAGCTATGCATATTATGATAAATGTTTTAGCAAAAATAGATCTAAGTGTTTGCATTGTTTAAGTTATATTAAGAATGGGATTGATACACATGTTTAATCACTCTTAGAAAGCCTAAATCAACTTGATTCGAATATTTATGTTGAAAGCGAAGATCCTGATTCTATTACTGAAGATGATAATAATGATAAGGAATCTGCTAATGACATTTCGACACCTTGGGACAATATAGTATGGAAATTTCTTCTATTATAGTTTTTTTAGGTTATTTTTTAAAAATTTTGTATAAATGTATATATATATACATGTAATTTTTTTCAATTTGCAAAATAAAAAATTATTTAAAATAATTATTACTAGTAATTTTACACATCATATATACATTATATAGTCATTGATGACTTAAGTAATAAATAATATAAAAACACGTGAATCGAATCAACCAGTCAAATTTGTAAAATTAAAAAATCAATCTACATTGATCCACAGAAAATCAGCCAATCAGACGAACTTCTGTCTATAACCGGCACACGGATTTATGTAATAATGTAATAATTTATATTATTATTGGTTCCGAACTATGAGGCCGATTTGTTCGCGTTACACATAATAAATAATATCATGTGATTCGCATGATCGATTTTGATTGGTCGATCACGGGGTCGCTATGGTGACGGGTCGCTCTAAAATAACGCTCTAATTAAATAATAATTGTGGCAGATTAAAATGAAATTCAGATTAAAATGAAATAATAATATAAAATCTCGAAAAATAAATTTTTTGGGTGTGTATTTTTTAGGGTTAGGGGTTAAAATTAGGAGTTAGGATTAGAGTAAAATATATTAAACAAGTATAAGTGGATTTTAAAAGGTTAGAAGGTTAAATAGAAAATGTAGATTTCATTTTAAATTATGATCTGCGACAATAAATATAAAGAATGTTCTACGTAAAGAAAGTCATGTTTTACGTTGTACGAAATCTAATTAATATAAAAATTATCGCCGGTGTTATTTGCACCGGAAACACGTTGACTGTTATCGTTATGTTGTCAGATAACTACAAGTTTGACAACCCTAGTGCCAGTTATTCTGACCGACAAAATGTAAAGACTATACAAGCTTTATACCGCATTGTGCCTGGTTAACCTATTGTATTTATTATGTGAAAGCAGGGAATCTTCATGTAATTTCGACATTAACACCGCCTCATTATTATTTAGGCATAACAATAACCAGGGCGCAAACATGTATGGTAAATATAGTAAATCAGGTCTTTGTGTAGTATTAATAACGTTAATCTCTAAGATAAGACAATCAAGTGTACAACAGCAAATTTGCCCGACAAATCCAAAACTCTGTTTTGTGTCCTGATCACAAAATCCCAAAGGTTACTGGCTAGCACGGTAATACTTAAATATATCTTTTCCAATAAAAAGCGGACTAATATTTTGTCATACAATACAATGTTTCGGGAGTTAGAATATAAATCATGTGCACAATGCCTTTTTTTTTCTAATTACTGCATAAATCAAAAAAAAAATTTTGGTGATTTGCATAATCGCGTTTTAATAAAATACTAAAGGCCTATTCCTTTCGGACATTGAACATAATACGATGCCTGCCTCCGCCGCCGTTCCAGAACCAAGATCTGTCAAAGAGGTAACCGCCAAAAAAAGCTCGTTAAAAATTCCCCCAAAACCAGATGAAGAAGCCTACAAAAAAGCACTTGAAGAAGTGAATACAACGATTGACAAATTGCAACAAGACCTTGTGAGTTTTTTAAAGTTTCTAATTTATTTTCAAATTTGCCTTGCCATTTATATAAAAGTGAAGTGCTTGTACGCATTCATTTTAGGTAGATGGCAATTTTATATGAAATCAGATTTTTGTTGCTTTCATACCGCTTGATTTATCGTAAAGTAATCGAAAATATTTGAAAGATTAACTCTTTAATATATTTTGATTTTAGAATGACGTAGTTGAAAAAATCAACAATTCCCCTGATAATGCACCCGTATCTCAAAGACGTGAAGAACTTCGAGCTCAACTTGATAGACTTCGTGGAAAACAAGCCGAAATGAAAAAAAAACGTCATCAAAAAGTTGAGCAACTTAAAAGTATGAATGATTCTTTACAAAAAAAGGTGTGACCGTTTTTACAATGTTGTGTCATTATACTGTTTTTATTTTTATACGTTTTCACTAACAAAAATATGACTTATTGCACTTTTATAGAAAAAGGATCTTAAGGCTCTAAAGGATAAGCTTCAATTTCGAACTGTCAAAGATATTGATAATCAGATTTCGTAAGTAAATTTTTTACCTAGTTCTTTTACGAATCACTGCTTCTATTTGAACTATAATAACCAATTCGATAAATTATCATCATAATAGAAAATTAGAAAAGCAAGTTGAATCTGGCACTTTAAAAATTGTTGATGAAAAGAGAATTATCTCGGATATATCTGGTCTTAAAAAGTCAAGGAAAGTTGTCGAAACTTTTGAAACGCAACAAGCTGCCATTGACGCTGAACAAAAATCGATTGACGAAATGAGAAAAGATCTTGAAGACAATGAATTCAAAGAAGCAAACGCACAATACGATAAAATAAAAGCAGAACTTGAAACAATCAGCAAAGACCAAGCTATGGATAGAGAAAAGAGGAATGAATTATTTGATGAGAAAAAGAGAATACGTGAACAGATCAACACTCAATTTGCCAATAGAAGAACCATTCAAGATGAATATAACAAGGCCAAACAGGAATATTGGCAAAGGGTGGATGAAGATCGTCGCCAAAAAAAGGAATTACAAAGGAAAAAGAAAGAAGAATTAGAATTACAAAAGAAATCCCAAATTGCTGCTAAAAAACTAGAAGAAGCATCCATTCCAGCTTTCCAAGAAGATATCCAAATTTGTGAAAATCTTATTTATTACTTTCAGACTCACCATGGAGTTGGTAAAACTGAAGAAGTAGTTTCTAGCAATGATAGTAGTCAGCCTGATACTACTTCTAATATACGTCAGCCTGATACTACTTCTAATGTTCCAGAAGGATGTGTTTCTTTAGCAAAAAAATTTGAGGATGACGATGATCTTTTTGGGGGTAAATTATCCAAGAAGGTTAAATCTCAAAAGAAAAAAAAACCCAACAAGACTAATGGGTTTCAACTCCCTCTCAGTATTATGGATCAGTTGATTTTAGTTAAAGTTGCAATTCCTCTTAGTCCTTCCGATGTCGAAAAAGTCGTTAATGACCTTACAGAAAAGAAAGACTACTTCGTCAAAAACCAAGACCGCATAACCAAAGAAAACATTGCTAAAGCTGAGGAAGAGATTGCCGCTTTGGAAGGCAAGGGACATAATAAAAAAGTTGATGATGAAAAATTAAATGAAAAAAATTCATCAGAAGTCGTTGAAGAAAGTTCAGAATTAAATAATGAGGTAAAAGGAGAATGTGCGACTGAAAAAGCAGCCATTGGACAACCTAATGAAGAATCTTAATAGAGTAAAATAGAATATTATAGAATATTATCAAACGATAGTTTTTGTTTTTTTTTATAATTTAATTACAGACGTATTTAATAATGAACATTTTTATTTATGTAGATAATTTGGTTAAAATTTTTGAATCATTATATTTCATAGATATATAGTCATTTTTAGTTTTGTATTTATGCGTAGGGTTTTCCTTGGAAAATATAATTATTGAAAAATTATCTTATTATCATCATCGAACATGTAATGTCAAAATTATAATAAATTAGATTATGTTACACCGATGTCATGACTCTTGTAGTACGATATGTGCATCAGTATGATCTTAGTCAATTTTCACATGTTGACATGTTGTTACGTAATGTTCAAGATGTTTATTCTTTTGGTAAATTGAGAAAATTGAAATTATAAATTTCGTTTTCTCTTCGAAAATTTAATATAATTCAAACATAAAAGCGTTAATACAATGCTGTTAGAGGTGAGGTTTTCAACACTATAAAGTATTTTTGCTCTATATATTGAACTTTTTTGCCTTCATAGATCATATCCTTTCTCTTTTCCCCAATTTTGTCCCTTTTCGACCCCTACCTGTCTCGATTCACCGATGCGTTAACTTCACATAAAACACAACGAACAGCAGTAAAGGCTATCTTTATCGGCATTGTGATTGTAGCGTTAATTGCTACGGCATTAGTTGCATACCTATGCTTTTATATTCTGTACGTTCCTCAAATATTACACGTGAAACCCGTATATCTACAATATCAGTATGTATTAATTACTTTATATCTATTGAAAATTGCTGATAACTTAAAATTAGTCAATTAATTGAGCCCTGGAAATATCTAATAATGTGTACAGCACTGGCAAATATCCAACTAGTGAGGTGGACTTTACTGAAGGTGGACAATATTCACAAGTAAGCAGGCCATTTAATATCTTAATACTTATTAAATTGTAATAATGTTTTCGTTTGTTTGATAGATTCTGACTCCAGGTCAAGCTTATGATGTTTCAATTGATTTACACGTTCCTGCATCTGATAGAAACATCGGTTTGGGTAAGTGATTTAATTTACTGCCATAATTCATATTTCAACGATAAGTATATTGAAAGTATTATTTTTGAGTTCATAATGTAAATATATTACTTGTTTTCAGGAAATTTTATGATTAGCCTAGCGCTTTGGTCTAGTGCTACTAATGACACAGTTATAACATCAAGTAGACCCGTAAGCATGAACCATTAATGTGTAATTTACGGTTACATTGTGTTTTAATTGTTAATATTTTTTCTATGGTAGTGTATTCTCACGTATCAATCAAACTTGCTCCGAGTATTTTCTACTTTGTGGCGATTGGTTCCTTTGTTGGCGGGATTTACTAAAGAAGATCAAAGACTAGAAGTCATCATGATAGAAAACATGATTGAGAATTTCGTGAGTTGAAAAATATGCGTCATCATTAATTCCATTTCTATTATTAATATTAATGTCATTTGTACTGCAGGATGCCCCAATCACAAAGGCATTCATTGGTGTTCACAATCCTGAACTTGAGGTTTACAGCGCCCAAATACGATTAGATGCTCACTTCAGAGGTTTACGGTATTATTAATTTTGATTATAAAATTCTTATAAAGTAAATTGATATCAAGTATACTCGAGCTCACATATATTTTCATTTCAGCTACTTTATGTATTATCATTCAATGCCGGCAGCATTCTTTTTCATGACCCTTTTCCTTTTCTGTGAGATATTCTTTTCAGTAATTGCTTGGAGATCACTTGTTACCTGGTGGCAAAATAAAATGCCGGCAGTCACCGAGCCAGATTCATCTACATCCGGTCCATCCGGTCCATCCGGTCCCAAAGATGAAGGTCATGACGGTGGATCTACTAGTAAAGATGATTACTATGGAACATGGCAAGAAGTTCACCGTAATGATGCTATTGAAGGTGGTGTTACAACAGAAACGGATAGTGATGATGAACCGGTAATTTAATAATTATTGAATTTATTATAAATGTATATTTCCAAAATGCTTAATAGTTTCTGTTTTTCATAGTCGCGCCCTGCTTCTGTAATATCACCATCCGTCACCAGGCTTGCATCGGAAGCTGGTGAAACAAGCTACACTACTGAATCTTATACTACTGAAGACGATGATACACAAAGCGTTGTATCACGGACATTGGATGATGCTTCTGAAGCTGATACCGAAACGGAGGGAGACGGTGACAATACTAGAATTTGAGCCGGGTCACCCGTGTCAAAACGGTTGAATATGTAACCTTTAAAAATCTGTTACTATTACACAGAAACAAATTTTAAATAATATGTTACTATTACACAGAAACAAAATTTAAATAATCTGTTACTATTACACAGAAAACATAACAAAATTTAACACAACAAATTGCAAAATTTTTTTCATTGCGAATTTTTTTTTTTGTCGGAATTTTTTTGCGAATTTTATAGCCTATTCACTACATATTAATTTTAAGATTTTCCATAGTAAATATTAATTTTTCATATTAATTAGCATTTAATAAATATATATAAGATTTCAAGACTTGATTAGCATATTTACATAAAAATTTTTTTTTGTATTTAGGGTATTTAACATCATATATATATATATTTATTATATATATAGTAAGATTGTGAGTTAAAGGTTTTTGGTATTGATTAATTTTACTGAGAGCATCAAGTACTAATTTTTTAGCAGTTTTCGAAATATTGCAACTAAATTATTACAGTACATAACCAGTGAAAAAAATTCTTTGTACGCTCGCACATAAAAATTTTTGCGTACAAAAAAAAATATAAAATTGTTCGCGAAACGCACATAACTTATTAGCAATATATTTTAAATAATGTGTGCTGCATAGTTAACAAATTTAAAAAGCGCACATTATATTTAATAACATGTGCGGTATACGAACAATAAATTTAAATGCGCACATTTTGATTCTGAATTTTTTTTCCTGTACATACCGCATTTTTACGAAAACCCAAACAATTAGTATTATTTATCTTTAAATTGGATTGTTTATAATTTAGTATTAAAACAAAGCAACTATAACAAATATATAGTATATAGTATATCTTGATAGAGCAAAGATACTATTAATAGGATATAACATATCAAGAGTTTGAATTCTACTAGCAACAAAAAATTCTATTTGCACTATAGTTAACTGTATTCAGTCAATTAGTTAGAATAGGATATCTGTAATTATACGTAGTTATACTAGCAAAATTGAAAGATTTGGGCATTTATATAACAAAAATATTATATGGAAGAATATATATTAATATTTGGCAGTATAAATATAAAATAAATTTTTGGGTTATATAAATTTGAAAAATTATAAATATGAAAGCCTGTTTGGTAAGTTTTAAGTAGAGAGGTAGTATAAACTTTTAATAAAGCTATTATAAAGATTAAACCTAGGAAACAGAACCCATATGAATTAAATTAAATAAAAACAAAATATTAAAGAATATTTTTATCAATCAGATTATTACAAATAGAAAAAACTAGCATCTAGCTTTGAAAGTTATTAAAGTTGTAGTGATGATATCAAACCAACTAGGCTGCTTCAATTAGAGTGTTCTTGTTTAGATGCAAAGAAAAAGTAAATATCAACTAAGCTATCTAAATTAGAAACTTAAGTAATCTAGGTAAATATTTTTGATAATGAAGTAATATATAAACTTTATTTGAACTTTTTGTAGCAAACTCTTTTGTATATTTGGCATTTAAATTAGAAGATTGTTCTAGAAACAAGTTAAGCTTTATTAGTCTCTAATTAAAAATTTTTATAGTAGTAGAAATTAAAAAGCTAAACTATATAACTATAAAATCTATAAAAAGAACTATATTTACTTTTATTGTATCATTAGTTTTTTTAAAAAAATTTATAAAAAGCAAATATTTTAGTTTACTCCTTAATATCATATATACTAAAATAATTAGCAATATTTATTTGTCAAATTAGATAAAACACTGCTATCAAAAGATTTTTTAGTTATATATTTATTTGTAGATAGTAATAATATATAGTAATAGCAACAAATATGTGAATGTAAATATCTTAAATACAAGAATATTTATATAAACAATACTTTAAGATTTACTTTGACATTTCTATAAAATATTCTGTTAAAAATAAATATTCTATTATGAATTATACAAAATTTATATAAAGTAGCTAAGTAAATCTAAAAAATCAGAAATATAGAAATCTGTTTAGCAAAACTCAAGTAGAGAAGTAGTTTAGATTTTTATAGTTTTATATAAAGAATTATTATCTAAAAATTAAATATCTGGTAATAAACTAAACAAGACTAAATAAAAGTTTAACAAAGTACTCTACCAACCAGGTTGTCAGAGAAAAAACTTAATTATAAGAACTAAAAGCAGGTTATAACTCTTTTGAACTATTTAGATTTTAAGGTTAAAATACTGTTAAGGGTATTAAATATTGTTGATAATCTGTAAAATAGACATTAGAATTTGTTATAACTTTGCAAAAGCACAAAGTAGATAATAGTAGCAAAGCAAGTACTTGTTTATAGACTAGATATAAGGTATCAAAATTTAGATAATATATATATAGAATATAAACTATTCTGGTAGATTTATTATAATAATAAAATAGTTTTAAGAAACTTTAGTAACAGTTGCTATATTTAAAAAAATATTTAATAAAATAAAGTTAATTAAAAAGTTTAAATAAAGAATCTATATACAGATCCTAGATATAATAATTGATAAATAACTACTGTATAAATAAAAATAAATATAGTAGAACTCTTAAATAAACAATAATTAAGTTGTATATATAATTAATTATACTTTGTTAATATAACAAAGTTAAGGTTCAGTTATTAACTATAACTAATATATTTTTTTGTTTATAGAATAACTTTATTGATCAAGGGGTTTTCTTTTATTATTAAAGTATTTGCAGTCTATATTTTTATAAAGAGTTTATAGTAATAGTCACATAATTTATTATGCAGATTATGTGTGTAAATTTTTTAATATAAAGTCAAATGATTGACGCACCTAAATTTTATATGTAAAATTTAGATAAATTTTGCTTTTATATTTATTTAGCAACAAAGAAATTGTCTGATTATTTTCTGGGTATTATTTTGCAAATTCTCTTGCATTTGAAGGTTCTTCTTATGAAATTTGAAGGGTGGTTAAAAATAAGATTGAAAAGAATCTTAATTACAAAGTTGAGCAATTTTTTTGCGATTTTTACAGTTTGTTTATATGTGATAACAAGTGATGTACATTATTTATCCAAAATAGGTAATATGAAGACGTTAATTGAAAAAATTTAGTTAACATTTTCATATTATCTATTTTGGATAAATGATGTATATCACTTGTTATCACATATAAACAAACTGTAAAAATCGTAAAAAAATTGTCTAACTTCATGATCAAGATTTTTTTCAATCTTATTTTTAATCATCTTTCAAATTTTATAAGAAGAACCTTTGAATGCAAGAGAATTTGCAAAATAATATCAAGAAAATAATCAGACAATTTCTTTGTTGTTAAAAAAGTCTAAAAGCAAAATTTATCTAAATTTTATATATAAAATTTAGGTGTGTCAATTATTTGACCTCATATTAAAAAATACTCATGTGATATATCATCTAACTGATAATATATCAACAAGGATACAATAAGCCACACATACAACTTTAGTCATTATTTATTTAAGGGTTCTGCCTATAGGTTTACCACTTATTGCCATATTTAAGATCTGCTTGTAAGTTCCTATTTAAACTCTCAATAAGCAAGGCAATAATGCAAGTAATAATAATAATAATTTTTTTGTACCTACTGGTAGAAACATCCAAATACAGAAATAATTCTGATATGGAAACACAATATTGTCAACTACAAAATTAAATTTCCGGCATGCTCCTTTTTTGATTTTTAATATTATTCTACTTATGTGATCTTTAATTTAGGTACTTAGTCCAACCTTCAGATTACTTTACCCATAAAGTAAATTCTACTAAAAGAGATAGTTCCTACAGCCACACCTTATTCAGATTTTATTGTGCCAAAGGTGATTCCATATTAGGTAAAGCCAATTCTTTCCACAAACATCAGTGATATTCTCTACATTTCTTACTATAGTAGTGCCTGTGCTTTGCCATACTAGTTTTTTTCAAAGAATTTCTTAAACCAAACATGTACCTTCACTTAGACTTCCACAGGGCTTTGTGTATGATTATAGGCTTCTTTTTAGATTACAGAGTATTCTACCTCCAGCCAAACTCGAACTATCAACCTTGTCTATAGGGGGATAAGAGCTTATCCATTAAGCTATAGGACCCAAACTCTCTAACTATAACTAATATTTGATTCAAATATTAAATAAAATATGCCAAACCCTAAGTAATCACTTTAATATTAAAAAAAAAAGAGTATAATAATTTTATTTTACTGTTGTTATTTTTAAAATATGTATATTGTATATACAACTCTTTCTGATGATCAATTATACCAAACTTATAGCTAACGAAAACAGAAACTTGTTAGAGAAAAGCAAAAGAGACAACTATAAATAACAGTTTTTATAAAGGTCAAGGCTTGTCTTGTCTTTCTCCAGACTTCTATATATATTTGGTATATAAGTTAAAAGAGTTCTTGTATAAGATAACTAGCAAGAAGGTGATGCTTTTATGCAAAAAATTTTAATAGAAGTACTGCTTCTGTTAACAAAGTTAGATAATAGTTGGTCTAAAGGAGAACAACAAACAAGTTTTCAATATACTCTTTATCGAAGTTTAAAGATACCTACAAACTGAAACCCTCCACCAACTCCACTCTTTGCATTTTTCGAAATTTTTACCAAAAAGTGAAAAAAATGATGTACCTCCAATAAAAGATCGATATAATAACAGCTGCTAAAAAAGAAAAGATACATACACATATACATGTCTACTTTGGAATGAATAGTGTCAGATAACATGATAATGTTTGAAATATTGCAGAAGATCTGCCAACCTAATTAGAATAGCAACTAAAAGTTTCAGCCTTGGAGCTCTACTTCAAGACCAGATAGTTTTTGATATTTTTACATCCTGGATATAGACATAAATAACTAGTATAAAGTTTAGTTTAGCTTATTTGTAGTACTATATAATTTTTACAATCTGGTACAGGTTTAATAATGCTATCTTTGTTTTCTTTTTTTTTGTTTTCTTTTTTTTCGTTATTTGTTTTGTTTAGTTTTGTTTGTTTAGATGAACCATAATTTGATGCTGAACTATTTTCTCATTTTTCTTTTGCTTTTTATATTTGTGTTTGTACTTTGTTTTATAAAAAGAAAAGTCAATTCTGATATGATGTGTGACACCCACCCATGATCAAAAAATAACCCTAGTGAGTTAGAGGCCCAAAGGGAGGCTTGAAGTCTACTGAGGCTGGTCATATCTGACGAAAGTGTGGATAAGCTGCTTTGCAGGAGGTTAGTATAGCTATTATTAGGAAATGTAACTTTTAGTTTAATTTAATCTCAAATAAAAAGTGGCAGGATAGCTGAATTATAAAAAAAATATGTATATTCTAATATTTGTTTAGATAATTAATATTGTATAAAATTTTAAAAATAAAATTAATAATTTTAATCAAAAACTATAAACAATGAA